ATTGAGCTCCGCCTCCCCCATCTTTGATGGCACCCATTCTTCGTCACGGCTGGCTCCGGTAGCCACTTTCTTCGGTTTCGCAGCTCCTTTCTTCGGCGCCATCTCTCAAGTTTGGTTAGGTTTTGGCGGCGGAGGCAAATGTGGTTGTGGATTCGGAGATGCGGGAGTCGAGGAGGAAGATGAAGTCAAAAAGGTGGGAACGGGGTATGTGGCGACACTGTTATAAAAGCGATTTCCCCACCTCTCTGCATTCAAGGGTTTTTGGGGAACCGTTCCCGCGATCTGCGCCACCCCGATTTCTCTGATGCGGTATATGGGCCGTTACTTGGGCTTCTATGCAATGTTAGCCCATGTCGCCCATTTATCGCTGCCATCAGTTGCTACTCGCCGAATAATCACCGACTTCTCCGACATTTATTGAGTCTCAGTAACCGTTACTGTACAACCGTTACTCCGATTTTTTCGCCACGGTTTGATTGCTCTGGTATCTCCGCTTGCAGCCTAGGGACTGGCTGCTTGCTCGGCTGGTCTTTCATTACTCCTCTGTTTCTGACCCTGGCTCCACATGACTACGTCATCTACTATCAGGCTCGGGGACTAAGTGGGCACACTTCACCTTGCGGTGAATGTGCGTTTTTCTCATCTCGAGGCTTCGCCCGGGGACTGGCTGCCTGCTCGGCTGGTTTTCTACTTTCTGACCCTGGCACCATATGACTACGTCATCTACCGTCAGGCTCGGGGACTAAGTGGGTACACTTCACCTTGCGGTGAATGTGCGTTTTTCTCATCTTGAGGCTTCGCTCGGAGACTGGCTGCCTGCTCGACTGGTTTTCTACTTTTTGACCCTGGCACCACATGACTACGTCATCTATTGTCAGGCTCGGGGACTAAGTGGGCACATTTCACATTGCGGTGAATGTGTTTATTTTTTCTGGAAGACTCTGTGCCTCTTGAAGCCGAAGAAGTTTATCTCCTTTTCTCGAGTTTGGACTCTCAGTGGGCACACCTGGTCCGTTGCGAAGAAATTTTCAATTCTGGACTTGAGCTCCTTACACCCTTATGGCAAGCCATACTTGGGATACGTTGCTCAGTTGCGGTTCACACTGCTCGGCGATGGTGCACGCTGCTCGGCAACTGCTCACAACTGCTCGATGACTCATTACACTGGTCAGACCATGAGTTGGTCTGCTCGGCTTTGGTTCGCACCTGCTCAGACAAGCTCAAGATGATGTTGCACAACGGGTACAAGGCGCTCGTGGACTAGCTGTGGGGGGGTACAACCTCGAATACCCATGGCAGACCACATGGGCTGCGCCCCCAGGGGCGGCCCAGCCCACAAGACGAAGCCTTGCGGGGCACGATTTTGCTCGGCATCTCCCGCAAGACATAAGGAAGATATCCTAAAGATACTACGAGATCTGTTAGGATACGTACGATCCCATGGTTCTTGTAATCTGTTATTACTTTCTGGTTATCTCTCAGATCTAACCGACTTGTAACCCTGCCCTCCGAACTATATAAGGTGGGCATGGACCTCCTCTGAAATATTGGCATATCATACAATAGCTAATACAGACCAACAGACCACAGGAGTAGGGTATTACGTCATACTGACGGTCTGAACCTGTCTAACTCGTGTGTCTCTATTGTCTTCTTGTTCTTGATCTCGCGCTCCTCTACCGATCAATCTACCTTCGTGGGATACCCCTCGGAGGACTACCGACGATATTCTGTCGATCAGACGCTCGCTCGTGATGCACATGACCTGACCATCTGTGTCCATCCCGTATGTGAGTAGAAACGATCATAGCTCATATATAGTTGCTCCTCCTGTGATCCTGTCCTTCACTGCTCATAATATAATATAATAGTCATGAATCCATGTGATGGTCATAGCATGGCTTGGCCCAAGCACTGATGAGCCCTCGTTGGAGGAGCAGTGGAGGACATATTATATTATATTATGAGCAGTGGAAGACAGGATCACAGGAGGAGCAACTATATATGAGCAGTGATCGTTCGTGCTTACATACGGGATGGACACATATGGTCAGGTCATGTGCATCATGAGCGAGCGTCTCTGTGTGTGTACACGGATGACCACCATCACGATTCACGAGGGAGGCGTTGTCTCGTCAGAGCTGCAGCAAGCGCTACCAGTTGTGGCCACATGCTTGAGCAGGCGTCGTGGTCCATGTTATTTTAGGGGGTGTTTGGTTCCAGAAACTAAAGTTTAGTCCCTGTCACATCGGACGTTCGGATGCTAATTAGGAGAATTAAACATGAGTTAATTATAAAACTAATTACACAGATGGAGACTAATTTACGAGATGAATCTATTAAGCTTAATTAATATATCATTAGCACATATTTACTGTAGCACCACATTGTGAAATCATGGACTAATTAGGCTTAATAGATTTGTCTCGCAAATTAGTCTCAATCTATGCAGTTAGTTTTGTAATTAGTCTATATTTAATATTCTAAACTAGTGTCAAGCATCCGATGTGACAGGGACTAAAATTTAGTCTGTGGAACCAAACACCCCCTTATTTATGGTCACCAGGAATCTGACCGAATGCTGTGTCTTTCTTTATGGCCACACGTACACGGGATCTGACACGTGTACCCAGCCATGGGGCACTCACGAGGAGCGTCTGCAGTCTCCGGAGTGCACACATTGCGTCGTCCTCTCCTGGCCTCCTAGGCGTCAACTTCTCCTGGCCTCTCCTGCCGCGCCGTGAGGGATGGCGTGGCGGCGCTGCGTCAAGATCGGTGGCGCGGCAGACCCTGCCACATCACCGGTCAGCGCCTCGGACCGCGCCACCATGCATGGCGCGGCACATGCATTTCACCGCGCCAGAAAAATTAGCGTAGCCAAAAGTGTTAGTTTTAGAAAAAAATTTAAACAATGTTAGATTTAAAATTAGTTTATAAAAAGTGTTAAAAATAAAAAAAAGGATTAAGTCCACTTTTGACCCATCAACTATCATGTTGGTCTAATTTTGACCCTCAACTACAAAACTGTCTGGTTCAGAAACCTCAAGTTTGAAAACCATTCACTCTTGGCATCTAGACACGGTTGTGGCTATTTCATGCCGACGTGTACCTGGTTTTAACCCGCAACGCTGGCTTTGACCGCCACGTAGGACGCACACACGGAGGGATAGCCGTGCTCGCAGCCGATTTACGTCGCAAAGCGCCGCCTCCACCGGACTCTTCGCGCGCAGGCCGCACCTCCTTCGCCGGCCACTGCGGCCCGCTCCCTGAGCGCAGGCTCTCCATCGGCGCGTCGGCCGTCGTCATCTTCGTGGGCGCCGCCTCTCGCCATCGCCGACACCCACGCCCTCCACCCCTCGCCCGACCTCCCTGACCCCCTCCACCGCCTCCACCTCTTCGAAGCGCCGTCGACCGAAGGTGCTCGACAAGGAAGAAACAGAGAGGAGCGATAGAGAGAGAGGGGGAGAGAGGGAAGGAGAGAGAGGGAGTAAGAGTGAGCAGGGCAAGGCGGAGAGAGAGCGCCTGCTGATGGTGCTGGTGGCAGCAACAGGGCGCGTCCTCGGCTCCTCACCTGTGCGAACACAAGCAAGAGGGAGAGAACGGGAGAGAAGGAAAGACCGAGAGAGATGGAGAGCGGAGGGAAGGAGATGACCGGCGGCTACGCGTTGGCGAGGGGGGGGGCGCTGATGGCTTCGGCTCCGGCGGTGCTTGGCGTCGGTGCGAGCTGAACAGGCGAAAGCGGCTCCGGCGAGTCGAGCATGTGTCTGGCAGCGGCAATCCCCGGTGGGCAAATGCGAAGTGGCGGTGCTCCTCACCTCACCAAAGTGCGGAGGGACTCAAGAAGAACTCCACTCCAGTCAGTGCGGTCCCGCTGACCGCTCATCCTCCGCGATGCTGTGACTCAAGATCTGGACCGCCGCCGCCGTCGCGTCGCGGCCCAAAGACGTGGGACGGGGCCCATCCCCACACCGACGCCAGCCACCTCCACTGCGCTCCCCTCCCCATCCTTCCTCACCACCCCTACCGGATCCGTTGCCAGCGGCGTAGGAGCACCCGAGGAGGAGGATGACGTCGCGAACGTGCTCTCCCTCGGCGGCTTCTTCAGCCGCTTCACCTCTCCCTCACCCTCCGGGAAGAGCATCCGGCGGCGCGGGTGGAAGCGCGGGTCTAGCAGGGCGCGTCCGCGCAGGGAGGCGACGGCGCGCTAGTGGGAGATTGGGCCTCTCCGTTGTCTCCACCTTCTCCTTCGGCTTCCTCCTTGGGATGGCGCCACTGGAGATGTTGTCGAAAGAAAAGCGACTGGTGGGCGCGATTGGACTCTTTGGCGTCTCACGCGCGCCGTCCATGGCACTGTGGTGGCGGCGGTGGTGGCGCGATGATCATTGGGCATGGGGCTGGTGGCCATGGCGGCTGGTGTTGGCGCATCGCAAGCAGCAGTTTCGTGGTGCTCTTCACGGCGCGAGGACATGCGGTGGTGGTCGTGGGGAAGGTGGCGACTCTTTGGCGGCAAGAACCATGGCGCTCAACAGCGTGCAGCCGGTGATCTCCAGGGTGGCCATCGGCGACGGCTGGCAGGCGCTGGTCGCCTACATCAACCTCGGCTGCTACTACGCCGGTGCAGTTCGGGTGAGTCGATGACGCGTGGGCCCCACATTGGACAAAACAGCCCCACACGCGCGCAGGTGCTAAAAGTGAACGATTTTGGCAGTTAGAGTATTAACATTAGATGGTTTTGTAGTTGATGATCAAAATTAGACTAATATGATAGTTGAGGGATAAAAATAGACTTAATCTATTAAAAAAAAATTCCCCCGCTCCCCGCCGCCCCACCTCGACGGACGCAATTCAAAAGGCGGCGAAGGCAACGGCAGCCGCTCCTCATCGTTAGCAACGGCTAATTAAGCCCACGCAAAACAGGCTCTTCCTCCTCGGCTCCTCCTCAGCGGCCCCGCCTCGTCGTCGTCATCCCCTACACGGCTACACCCGGGAGACAGAGGACTATGGAAGCAGCAGCAGCAGCCGCCACCGCTGCCCCGTGCCTCCCCTCTCACTCTCCGAGGGTTAGGGCTGCTCCGGTCAGAGTGGTCGCGAGGATTTGCCCCGGCGTAGACCCCGCTGGTTCCTTCCAGGTCGCCGCCCGCGTCCCCGATCCGGCCAATTCCTCCTCCGCTTCCGTCTCCTTCATCCCCATCATCAAGGAGGCCACTCCATCTGGGTACGTTTAATTGTTTTTCCTCCACCTTGCTCCTTGCCGATTATTTAAGATCCGGTCGATCTCATCAACTAAGCTGGCATATTTTGGTCTGCAGAAGCACGACTCCCCACAAGCATCGCGAGTACAAACTCGATTGGTGCTATCTCAACGACAATTCGGACACAGACATCTTCCAGAATGAGGTTAAACACCTCGTGGATAACATATTTTGCGGCGACGGACGCAACCACGCATGTGTAATCACTTGCGGTTCCATTGCCAAAACCCACCTCGTTATGGTATGTTTCTTTCATTTCTGATCAGATGTCTACTCTGAAAATTATAAGAACTGCATATTTTAACTGCCTTTCTGGTTTCAACCAAGTTCACTCATGATTGAATTTCTGATGCAGGGGTCCGAGGATCATCCTGGCTTGCTTACCCTGGCCATGGAACGAATCCTTGACTGCGCCAAACCCATCAGGGCAACCGTCAGCGTTTCCTCTTATCAGGTGCTTCAAGACAGCCATGTCTTTGATATTTTGGAGCCCAAGGACAGCGAGGTCCTTGTGCGAGAGGATGCCGATGGAAGGACTCACCTGAAGGGCCTCTCCAAGGTACCCTATTTGCTTTTTCTTCTTCTTCTAAATTCATGTTCCTGTCTTCCTATTTTCTCAACCACCTGTTTCTTTGAAATTAATCACTTAATGCAGGCTGGAATCAATTCAATTCAGGAGTTTCAGAATTTGTGTTATGGGAGCGACAGGCTCCAAAATCCCACCAAAGCTTCCAACCAAGCTAGAGGGCACCGTGCTTTTATTATTTTCATTTCTAGAATTGATCAGAATGGCAGAGAATGCTCTGTAGCAAATATGCATTTTCTTGAGCTGGCAGGTATGTACTTTTCATGTGTGAACTACAATTTTATATACTATCTTTTATCACTAATTTAGTTTTTGTTCCCTAATTTTCATTAGGCTATATCAATAACAAGCAAAACAGCCATGGTGGAGGATTTGCTCAACCAAATTCTAAGAAGTCCTTATATGCCGTGATGGATGTTGTGCAATCTCTAAACAGCCACCAGAGCTTCATACCATATAGGAAGAGCAAAGTAACTCATATTTTGCAAGACTCTTTATGCAAGACAAGTGGTGCTTTATTAATAGCATGTTTGGTAAGGGTACTTGGCATTGACATTTTGTATGATGTATTTCTCTTAGGAGATTTTTAAGATAAATGACTTCTTGTATGTACCATAAATTAAATGGTGGCATTGTTTTGCTTTTATTGTTAATCTTCTATTGGTTTTGAAAAAAAAAGTTCTATAAAGTGGAAGGTGGTTCAATAATATTGCTCAACTGCATGTTTCTTATCTTAAAATAAAATATATGACTACATGTTCTAGTGCCTTCGGTTAAAACTCAAAAGATAGTGTATCCATGGAAGTCTTAGAAAAAGAATGTAGCTAGTTAAAGTTTTTGTTATCACTATTCATTGTTTCCTTATGTTGCTATTGTTTGACAGAATATGCATTTCTAAATTTAGCTTGGGCTATTTGTTATACCCTCCTCTATGTTACCTTACCATACTTGTTGGAATTGATACATTTCTACTATTACCATGCCAATCTAATGCTATGCATTCCTAGTGTAGGATGAAGTCTCCTGCCAAGATGCAGTCTCTACTCTGAGCTTGGCTTCGCGCTCAAGCCAAGTGGTCAATGAACAGTGCTACAACTTATCCTTAAGCACAAAAGGTTGTTCAAAGTCAAATGTAAACCTTTCAGTAAATGCTAAGAATTTGTCAACGTCATTGTTGCCTTCTATCCAGCAACGAAGTTCTATAGTGGAGAAGTCCGACAAAACTCAATTTAATAACAGTGCAGTAAAAGCAGCTCGAGCTCTCAATTCTAATAAGAGGTCACAGTTTGATTTTGGATTTACTACATTTGATACTAGCATTTTGTCAACATTTGAAACTAATGGTGGTTTTGGTGTTATTCAGATCTGAAACAAGCACACATTCAGCGAAAAAAGCTGTAAACATAGTCTCTGCTTCAACTAATTTGAAACACTCCGGTGCTAAGTCTATCATGAAAGGAAGGTAACACTCTATTGATTAAGTCATGATTATCTCAATGCTTTCCACAATACCACTAAAATTGATCTTTTGTTGTCCAGGAATTTGTTTTTTCGAACTACTAATTCATCAAAGGTACATAACTAAACTAGTTTCCTCTAATCCTTTCGCATAGTATGTAGGCGAGATGGGTACTAAAGTTGTCATTTTTATGTTACTAACTAATCCAAGTTGTAATTTATGAACTATGTAGGAAGATAAGAAAGATTTGGTGACAACTGCGGTAGTGAGACCTAAGGTTTGTATACTTAGCACATTATATGTACACTTGTCATTGATCATTAGTGAACATATTTATATATTAGTTTTCTGTGCAATTTCATAGGAGGTAGGGACATCAATTTGCATGGAAATCCAAGCCCTCCCGCCAATTGAGGTACTTTAACTCGTTTATTGCCATTGCAAGTAGATGCTAGTCTTAAAACTAATTATTGATTGGAGCAATATGCAGGAGAAACGTGGCGACACAAAAAACAGTGTAATATCATCTGAAATGCAAGAAGTAGTGCCTTGCAGCATGAAAGAACTAGTATCAAGTGATGTGAAAGAAGAGGTATACAACCCTTGAAAATAGGCAAATAGATGATATTCTGGTGTTTGCAATCCCAATCTGAATATCATTAATATGTATAATTTTTGTTCCTCTATTCAGGACCATTCCTCTTCAGCAGAGAACTTGTATGCTGACTTAGGAATGACATGCTCATCTAATGCAGCTGGTATAACATCTTTTAACTCACTCTATTTCTAAAGGTTAATTATGAAATGATAGTGTTCTCAATTGCCTTCACTTTCCAGATAAATCTACTGAGAAAAATCTAGCCAACGTTATCCAATCCTCTCCAAAGATAAGTGACCAACTGAGAGAGATATCAAACTCATTGAAGCTTCTCAGTACTATGCCATCGAGCATAGTAAAACAAAAGGCAGATATAGTTCATGCCAAACCCTTTGACATAGTTGAAGTAGAACCAAAAACTCCTGAGATCCACTTAAAAGTTGGGCACGTTGAAGATCCACAAGAGTCACTCAAGGCTCGCAGCACAGGGTTTAAGGTCAACTATTTTGAACTCATTACACACAGTCAGTATTGTACCATTAGTTTTGGTGATAAATCATTTATTCTTTTATCTTCACAAAAGCAGAAATCCCTGGCTAAAGAGTGTTTGTCGTTTATAAACAGCGCTAGCAAGTAAGTATTATCACTAACATATTATTTATTGTTGAGTCGAGTTTATTTATGTTTTTCTAATGCATGTTTCCATATCGATTGTAGGGAGCAGTTAAAAAGTTTAAAGGTAATCAGAATCTTAAAGATTATGCCCTCACCTTGAACGCAAGTAATTACTTATGTCTTGCTAACTTATTGTTGATGTTGTAGGGTATTGGAGAGAAAAGGGCAAATTTTATTCTTGAGCTTCGAGAGGAGTCACCAGAGCCATTGAAAGAGGTAAACCTTCTACATAATTAAATAATATGAAGTGGAGAATATCACTTAAACTGATTTTCCCCTTCCAGATTGATGATCTTAGAAACATCATTGGGATGAGCAAAACAGAGGTAACTCTACTAAATCTATGTGTTTTGTTTTGTTCTTTAAATAAATACAATCAAATTATCCAAATGCAAAAAAATACTACACCATCACTAGAGAATAGAGGCAGTGCATATCTATTAGTCAAATGTACATCTTAGGTGATTTTAGCACATATGGTACATGGTAGAAAGGTTACTCACAGTTGGTACCTTGTATTTCTATTTCATTCAGATCAATAAGATGGTGTCAGGGATGATTTTGGATTCGGAGATGGACTAGGAAGGGTTATGTTGATTTCCACCTAGGAAAGGAGGCCATAGTTCTAAATAGTCCCAGTTTAAATATTGATGCTTGTTGGTAGTGGATTGCTGCAGAATCCAAATGCTCTCGAGTGTTGCTTGTGAGAATAATCGGATGTTTTCTTAAAAAAAATCAGGGATGTATTTGTTTCTTACACGTCTTGTGGAGGTATAAGTTTTATACATTACGTGTAATGTAAATACGAACAAAGATTTGGAAGGCTTTCAATGCCCTGTTCGCTTGGCTGATAATCCATGGCTGAAAGTACTGTTGGCTGATTTGTTGTGAGAGAAAAATATTGTTCGCTTGGCTTATAATCCATGGCTGAAAAAGTACGATTGCCTGTTGCTTTTTGTAGCAGAAGCTATTAGTTACCCTGTCATATTGTCACTGGTTAGTACCTTGTGTGCTGAAGACACCCAATTCAGCCTAACACTAATGATAGAACCGTGAGAACAGATTCAGTTTCGCAGTTGCAGTTGCAGCACTAAAAAAAACTCGACCTGCGGGGGTTATGACGGCCCCCGGGTTTTCCGTTAAGAAGAAGGATCTTCTCACACAGATCGAGAAAACCCCCGAACCCCCGCCCCCATCCTGACGCAGGAGGTGCCGTCACCCTGTGAGAACCGGGCCGGGGCCTTCCACTGCGCTTTGACACATGGGGACGGGCGAGGTGATTTTTTTAACCTCAGCCTGAAATCCGCTCCCACAGGGAGTCGAACCCAGGACCTGAGGAGTGTCGCTGGGTCACCTAACCGTTTGAGCCAGGAACTACATCTGTTTGTTGGACTCCGAAGAGTGCTGTTTAGCAGCCAACTACCGCTAACAGAGTCCTGCTCACAACAATCTCTACTATTCTACTCCATCCGTTCCTAATTATTAGTCGTTTTGACTTTTTTGGTATATCCATTTTGCTATGTATCTAGATATAATAATATGTCTACATACATAGTAAAATGAATAAACAACAAAGTTAAAGCGACTTATAATTATTATATCTAGATCCATAAGAAAATAGATGTACTAAAAAAGTTAAAGCGACATGTAATTTAGAACGGTGACATTAGTGATTCCGTCTATCAACAGCTGAGTCAAGACTCAGAATCCTGTCTCGGCAAGGATCTCAGGTAGCCGGTCAAGTTCACATCATCAGTTTTCCCTTTTCCGTCCCCTCCAAGATAGTTGCCCCGTACATCATTCTGTACTTTTACTTCCCGAAACATTTTCACAGCTGATAGACTTGAGCTGAAGCAGCCAAGATATTTATCACCTGAACTTGCACTACACACTTGTCATTCCCACACTCTTCAGTCCTCACTTCCCGAAAGCCACAAGATTTGTAGCAGTACACGAGTGGGTGCACGAGTGCTCCTTTCCCCTTTCCTTTCGCCGCTTTTGCACTCCACCGGACCAGAGCACCACCACCTGAATCGCTTCCAGATCTGGAGCCGGCATGACACTGTGACACAGACACGGCCGAGAGGGACACCCAACCCAGCGGCGGCAGCTGCAGAGGCACCAACCATTGCTTCACTGCCACCAATGATAAGCTGGCTGGGCTCCCAGCTGCAGTGACACACACCACCCACCCTCTCTGAGCCTGAGCTGAGATCCCCCATATCCCCAACCCAACGCAAAAAAGGCGAGGATAAAAAAAATTTCGCACCACCAACTGACCACAACCTCCCGACTCCCTCAGTCGCTCCCTAAACTCGCAAGCAACCTGCGGCTGAGCTCCGTCCACCAGTTGTCTCGCGTTGCTGCCGGTGCTGCAGGCGGCATTGTCGGCGCGCTAGGATGGGTGGCATGGTGGCGTCGGTGGCGGCAACGCTGCTCGTCGTCCTTGGCGTGGCGTCGGTGGCGACGGCGCAGTTGGAGACCTGCAACGGCGACCTCCCGCCCGTGCTCGCCGCCAACTACTCCGGACTGGCCTGCCAGCCGGTCTGGAACAACTTCGTGCTCCGGGTACGTATGCTGTGTGTGGTCGGAGTCAGGTGGATAATTGAGCTGCTCAGTGTTCTGTTCTTGGAACCTCTGGCCATCTTTGTCGTGGTTGATGCTGTTCAGTGCAACGTCGATGGTTGTTTAGGTTTGGTTTCTGGGCTTGAGATCTCTCAAGTCTCAAGAACAGGGGTGGGTGGATCTTGTTGCCTGCAGCTGCAGGCGAGATTGCCATAGTGAAATTCAGAGGCTCTGTTCACACTGTTGCTTACTGAACTTTCAGCAGATCAAAGGCTTCCAGCGGCAGTAGTCAACTGATATCTGATAAGGGATTTCTAGCTAATAACCATACAATTCTCGCAATCTGCAGTTTTTCAAGTATAATTCTTAGGATTAGAGTTCGTTTTGGTGGTAGTAGTAGTAGCAGTAGCTGAGCCAATAGAGGCTGAAAGCGTACAGTTCAGATAAAGGGAACCAACAGGCAACATGCAATGCATTATTGATCTACCTATCAAGAAAAAGAGAGTAATGCAATAGTAAATCCTCGGTTGTAGCTAGTAGTAGCATTATATTTCTACTCCCGATTGTTGTGATGAACTGCCGATCTATAGGGCGTACAGATACAGTACAGCTGCAAGCAGCATTTCTAAATTCTGACGTTTGAACCAAACCAACTCCTCTCTGATGGATCGATCATTGCAATGCAGTACCACCAGGACAAGAACAACGTGCTGCGGATCGTGCTGTCGACGATGTACAGCACGGGGTGGGTGGGCATGGGTTTCTCCAGGGACGGCCTGATGATCGGCTCCAGCGCCATGGTGGGGTGGATCGGCAAGAAGGGGCTCCCCCACATCCGGCAGTTCGCGCTGCGCGGCAAGAGCAGCTCCAAGGTGGTCGTGGACCGCGGCTTCCTCGTCTCCAACGACCACGACCACACCGTGGTGGTGCAGCAGGCCAAGATCTACCTCGCCTTCCAGCTCAGGTTCTCCTACCGCCTCACCCACCAGCACATCATCATGGCCTTCGGCAACAGCATCCCCGTCAAGAACAAGCTCACCAGGCACCAGGACAAGACCTCCTTCACCTTCGATTTCACCACCGGTACGCTGCTCCTCCTGTTCTTGGTGAATGGAAAACTGCTTGCTTTCAGTTCAGAGTGATGTTGCACTGCACTTAGCTGAACCACTTGCAAGTTTGCAAGTGGAGAATAAAGAAATGCTCGCGCCTGAAAAATGAGCCGACAAGTCCACTTGAACTGCAAGCAGTCGTGTGTGTCGGTTGGCCAAAAAAAAAGGTTTTTGTTTCTTGAAGCTTCAGCGTCAGCTGACACTTTTTAGTTGCCAGACCGACATCAGTTGACATCGAAAAGAACTCGAGCCACCTGCTCGTTGCATTTCATGGCTTCATCATCTACCATCCGTGTGATCGATCGGATCCCTATACTATGATCTGCAGGCAGAGCTTCGGTGGACGGGTCGTTCCCCTACGGCCTGCGGCGCGCGCACGGCGCGCTGAACGTGTTCGCGTGGGGCGTGCTGATGCCCATCGGCGCCATCCTGGCGCGCTACTTCCGGCGGATGGACCCGCTGTGGTTCTACCTCCACGTCGGCGTCCAGTTCGTGGGCTTCATCATCGGCCTGGCCGGCGTCGTCGCCGGGGTGGCGCTGTACAACAAGATCCAGGCCGACATCCCCGCGCACAGAGGCCTCGGCATCTTCGTCCTCTTCCTCGGCATCCTGCAGATCCTAGCCTTCTTCCTCCGCCCCAACGCCGACTCTAAGTACCGCAAGTACTGGAACTGGTACCACCACTGGGCGGGGAGGCTCGCGCTCTTCTTCGCCGCCGTCAACATCGTGCTCGGCATCCACGTCGGCGGCGCCGACAACTCGTGGAAGATCGGGTACGGGTTCAACCTGGCCGTCATCCTCGTCGCCGTCATCGCGCTCGAGTTCATGCTGTGGACGAGGTGGTCCAAGAACAGCACCTCCACCCCGACGTACTAGAAACCTGCTGCACGTTGTCGTGGATCGTGGTGGCGGCAACGCGAGGGGCAGCCCCTAATTTTTATTTTCATTTTCTGGTTCTTTTCCCAGGGTTGGATGATGTTGTGTTTGCCCTGACCCTGTTTTCTTGTTGGTTTTGTTCTTCGGAACTGCAATCGTGTACTCGCACTGCCCATAGTTCTGCACGCCTGGGCCTGGTGGTATAGTGGTCCTCTATGATTCTTTATTTCTCGAGGCATGTTACAGCCGTGTATGATAACTTGACGAGAGTATATATATGACGAATGTAAGATGCTTAGCATTGTAGTAGAGACGTTAATAGAGTAGTGCATAATCTTCCTAGTTTAGCTGTTCAGTCAAAGCATGCTTATTTGGGTCCATGAACCCCTAGCTTCATTCTCGAAGCCCCGGTGAATGATGTAACCCTATTCGAAAATCAATAAAGAAGCCAGGTGGCTTTAAAAAAAACTTGACGAGAGTAACGTGGCCATAGCTCCACCCATTTGTTGATGCCTAGCTTGTCCGGTGGACCTCCGTGCACTATAGCAAAAAAAACTGTTATTTTATCTATCATTTTAAAATTAACTATGAACTAATAAAATTATTATTATTATTTTTGGCTTGACTGACTCTAGTTTTTCCGCATATTATAACAAGGAACTAAAACTGTGTCAAACGAGGTCTTCTTGTACTATAGTGAGAAATAAACTAGACACTCACGCATCAGAGCCCAGCAATGCAGAAAGTAACCGGGCCACACCCCAACCCATGCACAGGAACTCATCGCGTCAACCCACCCCATCGTCTTATGAGCCGTATTTTTTAAGCTCATAATGTTTTTCTCTCACAACAAATTAGTCAACGGTACTTTTTAGCCTGGCTTATCAGCCAAGCGAACAGAGCAGCTCGTGATAAACGTATAGTCACAACTAGGAATAACACCGAATACATATTTGACGGGTACTATCATTGGCGGATCCAGGGGGGGCTGCAGCCCCCCTCGTGAGCCTTAATTCCTCGTTAAATTACTGT